TTCAACTTCGGTGTGGATTCTGACGAATTTAAGGACAAAGTTGCGTATGTGGAGCAAAACATACCGTTGGCTGATTTAATTGCGGCGTGCAATGTTATAAAATTGGACTACTCCGGTGAGAAACCAACGCTTATACGGCGCATTTGTATGGCTTTATCAAATTTGGAGAATTTAATTGCGGAAAACGAGGCTGATGACGCTGACGAGGATGAACAATCCGACCTTGAGGATGAAGTGGAAGAGGAAGACCAACAGGCCCCCGTAGCAGCGCCCCAAAGGTTCATTTTAAGTTTTAGGGATGTTGAAGACTCGCTGCGCACATTTGATGGGAAGAGTTCTTATCCGGTTGAGAGGTGGATTCAAGACTTTGAAGAGACTGCCCTTTTATTTGGATGGGATGACTTGCAAAAATTGATTTTTGCAAAGAAATCACTAAGAGGTTTGGCTAAGATTTATGTTCAAAGTGAGACAAATATTAGCACATGGGGAAAGTTAAAGAAAAAACTTAAGAGTGAGTTCGGAAAGAAGATAAATAGTGCTAAGTTGCATCAATTATTAAGGGAACGAAGTTTACGAAAGGATGAGGATGTCCACGAGTATTTTTTAAGCATGAGGGAGTTGGCTAGTCGAGGAAATGTAGAGGTTGAGGCACTTATTCAGTACATCATAGATGGGATTAATGATTCATTAACCAATAAAGTTGTTTTATATGGTGCCAGTACCTTGCACGAGTTCAAAAAGAAATTGGAGATCTATGAAACCATTAGAACAAAGACCACCCCACCAGTGACAAAAGTAAATAGAAGTGTGATGCCAACAGGACAGCGAAGCACATCATCATCAGAAGGAAACAAATCATCGCCAAGAAAGTGTTACAACTGCAATTTAAGTGGGCACATAGCAGCGCACTGCCCAAGGCCAAGGAGGGAAAAGGGCTCCTGTTATAAATGTGGAATACTGGGACATTTTTCAAACAAATGTCCATCGAAACCTGAAGTAGGACGTTCCACCACTTTTACCAATACAGAGCGTCCAGGACCATCAACTCTGCTGATTGAGGAAGTGGCACCAGCAGACTGCAGCATAGCCGTGAAATTGGATCCTTGGATTTGTCCATGGGAGTTAAATGACGTTTTAGATTCAGGTAGTCCTATATCATTAATTAAAGACAGTTTTGTGCCAGTAATATTTAGGAAGGCGTACAGTTCTTGTATTAGTTATTCTGGTATAAATTCGTCTGTGGTAGATATTTTAGGGTTATATGAGGGCACTGTTCATTTTAATTCTATTCAGTTAAGTACTTTATTTCATATTGTCAGTCCTGAGACAATGAGGGCCGATTTGGTTTTGGGAAGAAATTTCTTGTTTCAACCTAATTTAGAGGTTAAATTTAATAACCAGCAGGTAATTTTGAATAAAATAGCTGACGAACCACCATTTATCAAACCTTCTGGCTCAAATGAATTACTGTTAATAGATCCGGATATTTTTAAAACCCCAGATGAAAACTTTATTGTTAATCCTGATGTTGACCCAGTCATAAATTTTAAACTGCATGACATTTTAAACCAGCACATAGTAGCTAAAGAACCAGATATTCCTGCAATAGATTTTGAAGCCCAAATTATTGTAAAGTCTGAGCATACCCCATTTCATTTCCAACCAAGGCGTTTGTCATTTTTTGAAAGGGACAAGTTACAAGTTATACTTGATGATTTACTCAAACAGGGCATAATTAGAGAGAGCAACTCCCCGTATGCTTCTCCAATTGTTTTAGTTAAGAAAAAGTCCGGTGAATTACGATTATGTCTAGATTTTAGGGAGTTGAATAAACTAGTTGTTAGGGATCGATATCCTTTACCTTTGATCGACGATCAGTTAGATAGTTTAAAGAATAAAAAGTTCTTCACTAAATTAGACCTACAAAGCGCCTTCCATCATGTCAAGTTAACTGATGATTCGACAAAGTACACAGCGTTTGTCACACCTATGGGGCAGTACGAATATCTAAGAATGCCTTTCGGATTTTGTAATAGTCCTTCAATTTTTATGAGGTATATAAACAAAATTTTTCGTAGTCTTTTGAGTCAAAACAAGATCTCAATCTTTCTAGATGATATTTTAATTGCCACAGAATCAATTGAGGACAACATTGATATTTTGCAAGAGGTATTGGCATTAGTTAAATTAAATAAGTTGAAGTTAAGGCTGGACAAGTGTTGTTTTTTGATGACGACGATAAATTACTTGGGTTACCAAGTATCTGCTGAGGGTATCTCGCCATGTAATGAACATATTGAGTCTGTATTTAGATTTCCGACACCAAAAAATCACAAAGATGTTCAGAGCTTTTTGGGATTAGTTAGTTATTTTAGAAGGTTTGTTAGAAGCTTTTCGGAAATAGCAAAACCGTTGACTGACTTAACAAGAAAAAATGTTGCATTTAATTTTGGTCAAGCTGAATTAGAATCCTTTGAAAGATTAAAAAATTCTCTAGTCTCCTGTCCATTACTAGCGATTTATTCACCAACAGCTGAAACTGAATTGCATTGCGATGCTAGTTCATTAGGCTATGGAGCAATATTGTTGCAAAAACAGCATGATCAAAAATTTCATCCCATTGCATTTTTCAGTAAACGCGCAACAACTCCCGAAAGTCAAATATCACAGTTTTGAGTTAGAATGTTTATCTATTATTTATGCACTAAAACGATTTCATACGTATTTACATGGGATCAAGTTCAAAATAGTCACAGATTGTGATAGCCTTCGTTTAACGTTGTCGAAAAAAGATTTAAATCCTAGAATCGCCCGTTGGGCATTATGGTTACAAAATTACGACTATACCGTTGAACACCGTAATTCTGACCGGATGAAACACGTAGATGCCCTAAGTCGTAATCATATTTTAATACTCGAAGATAATACCCTTGAAACGACATTATCTCTTCAACAAATGCAGGACGGTAACATAATCAAAATTAGGAATTTGTTGGAAGAGCGAGAACACAAGAAATTTGAATTAAGAAACGGGTTAGTGTATTTTAAGGGATCTAACAAGCTACTATTTTATGTACCTCAAGCGATGGAGTATCAAGTTATTAGGATGTACCATGATGAGTTTGGTCATGTGGGGAGGGATAAGGTAGTCGAATTAATTACACGGTTTTACTGGTTTCCGAAGTTGAGGGATAAAGTTAAAAATTATATTTCCCATTGCTTAAAATGTATCGCGTACTCTCCTAACTCCGGGAAAAAAGAAGGCTATCTTCATTCTATACCCAAAGGAAATATTCCGTTCGATACAATACACATTGACCATTATGGCCCTTTGGAAAAAACGCCAAGAGGTTACAAATATATTTTTGAAGTTGAAGATGGGTTCACTAAGTTTGTGAAGCTCTATCCCTGTAAAACGACTAATGTTAATGAAGTCATCAAACACTTAAATCACTACTTCGATTGTTATAGTAAGCCAATACGGGTTGTCTCCGATAGAGGGTCTTGTTTTACTTCTGTTTCTTTAGCCGACTTTTTTCAAATAAATTCAGTGGAACACATTCAAATCGCTTCCGGGGCTCCAAGGGCAAATGGTCAAATGGAGAGATGTAATCGTGACATCACTCCTATCCTTGCAAAGATTACCCCATCCTTAAATAAATGGGATACAAAACTGCCTGATGTAGAATTTGCCATTAACAACACTGTTAATCGCAGTACGAAGGAAACCCCAAGTAAGTTATTGTTCGGACGAAATCAACGCGGCCCAGTTGATGACGCTTTAAGTCATTTCTTAAGTAATGAATTTGATGTGCGGTCTGACATTAATATGCTCCGAGCCAATGCCTCTCAGAACATACAAGTTAGCCAAAGTTACAATAAAGAACTTTATGATAAAAAGAGGAAACCTGCTCGACGGTATAAAGTTCATGACTTTGTTATGATTTCAAACACAGATGTCACGCCTGGTGTGAACAAAAAGTTGATTCCGAAATTTAGGGGACCATATGTAATTAGTGCTGTACTGCCTCACGATAGGTATTTCATAACAGATATTGAGGGTTTCCAGCATACGCAAATACCGTTTAAAGGGGTTTACGATTCTTCAAGGATGAAGCCTTGGTTAGGTAGTGATGTAAATTCAAGCTGTTCGCTAGATACGCAAGAGACCTAATAAGATTTGTTTTTGTTTATAAGTTCTTATATGTATTTTGTATGTATTTGTGTTTAGGTGGGATTATTTTATTGTAGCTTGTGTTATTTCGTCATGCCGATCTCAATTGTATGTAACTTATGGTCAGCTGTGGTATGTAAGTCTTATGTATGTATCCGCTAACTTTATTATGTTGTATATTATGTGATTACGTCACTTCATATTATGTTAGTCAGCTGTATACACGTTAGGTGCTTTTATGTATGTATTAGCTAATTTTTTATGTTATATAATTGTCATTTTTACGTATTTATGTCACATAGTTATGTTAGTCAGCTGTATACACCTTGTGTCTTAAAGCATGTAATAGTAGACTATCTTTCCATTTTACGTGAATTAACTTTTATGTCTTGTACACATACTACATGTTTGTAATTTTAGTATTAAGTTTATGATTCAGTTATTACGTAAGATTAGATTGGTTGTAACGGACGAGGTCGTCCTAAGTCAGAATGGCCGAACTGTAGTCGCTAAATTTTTAAATTTAAATTTCGCGCCATGAACTGTAAGATGAGGAAGGGTAATCGTGCGCGATGAGCTGCGACTCTGCCCTTCGTCCTCCAGCCGTCGTAGAAGTAAGATGTGTCGTAAATATATTTTTAATAATTATAAGTCTTTAGATACAAATCCTGCACGCCCTGTATAATTACGCTACAGCCACCTACAAATAAAGATTTTTAACTTTCCTAATAGTAAAATTACAATTATTACTAACCAGTAAGTTGAAGTAAGTTTTAAATTAAGAGAATGCAACTAACACCAAAAGAAACATGAAAGTTACTGAAAATAAAAAACTTTATTGCAGTACCTACATACACTTTCTACATCTAATTTTGTTTATTGATCACATTCATTTACTTGAAAAAGTATCAGGCCTATGAATCGTCGTCTGGAAACAGCTAACCACACACCAACCTTCATTGCGTGTGATGGTGTTTCTTCAAAAGCGTGAGTATTTTCTATACACCAAATTCTGAAGTTCTGTCAGTTGACATAATAGCCTAACAGATGAAACCAGGCTTCATCAGAAAAGAACGACAAATCGAGAATCCCGTTATCGTCCATATCAGCTTGAAACCAACTACAATACCCAACGCGGCAAGGAAAATCAGCTGGTTGCAGCTCCTGAACCAACAAAATCTTGTATGGATGCATATGTAACTTCTCTTTTACGATTTTCTGACATGGGCTGTATGGTACTCCGGACAGTAAAGATTTTTGACAAAGCTTTATTCGGACTTTGTTCCATTCTCATCCTTAAATCTTCAACAACGTCTTCACTAACTTGAGGTCTCCCCGTCGGTTTTCACTTAGAAATGCTACCAGTGTCGTTAAATCTGGCCATAATTCGCCGTATAGCGTCTTCAAAGATTCTTCATCAATGACAACAGAACATTTCACTAGATACTCGTTTTTAGACGCCTCCACAGAGTACACTCCATCCCCATCCTCATTTAACACCCCATGACGGTAATGGGCATGATGATTGCGCCAAAGAACTAAAAAAATCATTTGTAACACTGAGCATAGTTATTCCTCTCTGTTCATTACCTGAGATTATTCCACAATGATCTGTAGTTTTGATAAAAACTGTTTTTTGAGACACTTATTAAAGTTCTAACAAAGGGAAGACAGCAAAAATGAAAACAAGACAAGTCAATTAACGCACAAAGTGAGGGAAAACGTACCAGTACAAACGAAAAAATTATTGACATCTGACAGAATTTGATGAAGCGTTGAAACCTGTGGTTGAAACAGTGCAGCCGCTAATGTCGTACTAATGTGGCGTTAAAAATAAAAATTCCAATATTAGTGTAATCCTTTCCACAAAACTGAAAAAGGCGGCACAAAATGTCACCAAAATCATGGCCTTCTTCGACTACAATATTTTATAATGACCCTGTATGTAATTAGAGTTATTTACATAAAATTTCACTCGCACAACAAAGACCACAAGCACCTCAGGAAGTTTTTTTTTCAATAAAGATTAATTTTACAATTGAGATGGTGCGAGCAAAATTTTCCTTCTATCAGCGTGGGGTGAGTTACTAAGCGCGTGTTCCTTGAGTCCTCATTAATTAGAACTAGAAAAAAAAAAAAACAAAGTTGTACGGTTCTAAAGTTTGTCCAGAATTATAAGAATTTTATGGACTCCTAACGTTAATTCGTTTTACAGCCATGTCGTCAATTCTATTGTACAGGTAAAGAGCCTGTCAGGAGAAAGCCGATGTTTACTGTACCTGAGTTCGCCCCGCTCTTCAGCTGTACAATAAAATTGACAACAGGGCTGTAAAACGAATTAACTTTGGAAGTCCATAAAATTCTTATAATTCTAGACAAACTTTGCCTCCTATCGCAATGGAAGAGTGTGTGTATTCGGTAACCGCTTGTAAGTAAGAATATCTGGCCAAATACCGTGATTTACAAATTCAAGAAACGTTAGAGGCTCACATTAGAGATGTAATCAACAGATTTGTTCGAACTGGCAGTGTCAACACTTTTGTTGACACCTATCCTCTAGAAGACCATCAGTATCTGAGGTTGATGACTTGAGACAACGACTCAACAACAGAGAGTTGCAACATGAAAGTGAACAATGGGTCCAAAACATTAACGAAAGGATGTTACAGAACATTTTTGAACATAAGAAAAGATGTTTAATCACAGTAAATTTGTTTATTTTGATTGTAAGTTTTATGTGTTAATAACATACGGAATGAATCATTTAGGCAACCAGTTATACAGATGCGTGTGGTATTTGTCATGCGTCCTTGAGCATACAAATAAAATACACGTAAAGTGATACGCATCACGCTTGCATGACCTACTTCGACCCTATAATCATTTATAGAAACATTTATAACTTGTCAATAACTTTCTCTGCATGACACAATGGCAGTTTTTTAAAAACAATTTATCATCATTACTCTTTTTAAAATTTTGGTGAAATTTTTCATCACATATCTTCAAAAATCAATATCTCAGTTATTTATAAATTTTACGAATTTTCAGTGTACAAAACTCTAGAAATTACAAAAGAAACACTATTGACTTTTGTTATCGAAATTGAGACACCGGTGGTGTTTTTACCCATTTATCAGAATTACACTTTGGATTATTCAAGTATCATCTGAAGTCGCATTAATACCACTTCATTTTAATAAACTGTGTTAACCCAAACTTCCCGCCTTAAAAATGACATGTGAGCAGGTTTTAAAGACCCGCGAAAAATTCAGAAATTCAAAAATTTGGCCTACATTGTGTTTTTAAAAAGTGGCGGGATGCGTTCGAATGCAAGTGGTGGACCCCGAGGTTGGAAAAGTACCGCTAAATAAAACACCAAATATATGGAGGAGTTTGGGGCTCCTGGTCGTGGCTGTTCTCCCCCCACGACGGTGATTCTATTCTATCGCAAGCACTGCCGTCCAACACCCCTCTATCACGAAGAAACGTGCCTGGACGAACAGGCCGTTACGGTCGCAAACTCGTGGTTGGGTCCCGTCTATTGGGCCAAGCCGACAGCGTCACGTCATCTCGACCGCCCCTGACTTCTATTCTAGGCCTGAATCCTTTATACAGATAACGCGACCGCCAGCTCGACATGGAACCGCGCACTCCGCTTCCGCCACGTGTTATTGTGTTATTTACCTCAGTTCCATTTAAATGTTCCATTTCTATAACTCTGATATTAAACTACAACTGAACAAGTTTAGTGTTAAAGTTTCAAAAAGAGCAATAAACACCATTTAAATTCGCCATACACTGTCGTGAAATTTAAAATAGCAAAGAATTCTTATCTGAGATTAGGATTGGACATCTGACAATCTATATGATGGAAACATTTATCAACAAAATATTTACATGAAAAAAAAAACCAGCAAAGATTTATCAAACAAAAAAAGTCTGGTGTGAAGTAAAACTTGCACAGACAAAAAAAATATTACGTGAGGTTATACAACATTTACATTCAATTTAAATTATACAACAAAGAAAATTACTGAACTTAAAATTGCGAGATAGAAAAACAATTGCATGAGGTCAAAAATTGCGAAGTTAACAAAATTACATGAGATTAATATTTTATGTCCATTCGAGTTATTGGTTAATTTTCAAAAGTAAAGTTATTCAGCTGCATTGTGGGCCATCCTTTTACATTCCCCAAGGTTCAAAATGGCGTCGGACGAATGCGTCGTTCAAAAAACTGCGTTAAAAGTATGTCTCCCAGAAATGCGATCAATTCTGTAGCACTCTGCAAATAATGGTCTAAATCAAAGAAATAAAATGCATGTCCCACATGACTCACAATTTTGTTAATTTGTTTAACGAAATTTTACAGTTCCAACATGCGCTCGGTTTAAAAAAACTCTTTCAACATGGCCGCTGCCAGCACAAAGAATTTACCTGATGTTAAATTATACCACACTTTATCAACGATTCAAACAAAGAATTTACATTATGTTAAATTATGCCTTGATCCAAGTGACTGATTACTTAAAACAATTAGTTTTGAGAGTTTATATCGTGAACTGTCCCCAGCTTATCCCCAAAACGCATGCTAAATAAACACAAAATGCATCCTGTGTTGCGAGAAATATGCGTCTCGGTGATGTAATTTTCAACGTTGCGAGAAAAATGTCTCGGTGATAACGATGATAACTGCCTAAGGGAAAAAATTTATAATCCCCCGTACCTCAGTTCACGATATTATGAATTCTACCGCACTTTCCACGGTCTTTTTCCCAGAGTGGGACAACGTTAGGTTGATTTAACTGCCATAAATGAACTATTAGCAATCTTGTGTGAAAAGTCAAGAAGTGTTATAAGGTAACGCTTAAGTAAAAGCATCCAGAAACCTTATTCACAATTTGATAAACAAAGTATGAATCCTGACTAAGTGAATTTCATGAAACCTCCTAACAAGTGCTGTATCTAAACAAACTCCTGACTGTTAAATTGTGTTAGAACCAGTTAACGATTAAAATCCTAAAATGAACCGTGAATTTACAAACAATCAAACAAATTTACACCACGTGTTGGTGACGGTCGAAAATTCGCATATTTCCACTTGGAAAAACCGCAAGAATTAGGTATGGGTGTTGGGGAAACTGTGGCGTCGTCGTCATGATTAATTGTCGTTAAACGAAGGCTTTCCCCTTTTTCTAACTATCAAACCAACTAAACTTAACCTAGCTAACTTACCACGTCGTTTACTTTCGTGTTTTCGGCGAATAGGTACTCTCATGTTTTCTCAAAGTTTCGTTCCTAGAGCACGAAGAAATATGTCTCCCGTTCCGTTTGCCCTCTGTCTGTGACGATTTGTATTTAATCTCCAAAACTACTTGATCAATTGTTGTTAAATTTTATATGTATTTTAAGAATAGATAGGTAGGTAGATAGAAGAGGTAGAGGGTAAAACGCTAACCAAAATGTGTCTGATCATCCCTACCAACAATGTGATGATTCCTGTACTTGTGATTTATGAATCTACCTTGATTTTGTTTATTATTATTCCGAGTATAATTTTTTAATCAATCTTGTTCTTTAAACACACATTACGAACTTCCATTACCACTGCGGTAGTCAAGGGATAACGCATCAGCTTCACAGACGAGAGATCCTCGCATCAAAGGCGACCGGGCCTCAACATTTTTTTTATTAATGAAATCAAGAACGGTTTATCATATTTTCCCGAAAATTTTAAAATACAGTACTGCTATTTTAGGCAAGTTATCAAACAAGCAGAAACAATCTTCCTACCTATTATTCTGAGTTTACGATATTTTAAAAACATGGTTAGAATAAAATTGGGTCCTCGAATCCCTTACTAGCAAAGAAGTTGCTTTGGACCAATTTTTATTTTACATGTTTGAGTTTGCATAGCAAAGATTTCTAAGTTCTTCATAAAAATTCCTAACACTTAGAGCAACAGTGTGCTAAAAAAATATTTTCAAAATTCCCTTTCCAAATTCAAAAATATGAAAATTTTGCCCTCGATTTTTTTAATAAATACAAATAATGTTATACATGTTAAAATAAAAAATCTCACAGCTAAATTATGAAAGTTGAAACCTGGACACACTTTATTGAATAAAATGATAGCAACGATAATTAGCATTAGATTACATCAAAAGAATGTGTACTATAGAATGTATTAAGATTAAAAGTGTTTCCTGTTCAAAGTGCAAACCACTGATTAAAAAACGAAGAAGAAAACAAAAGAATCAAC